CACAGGTAAAGGTCTCAGCGCAGAGAACTTCTAGCGACAAGTCTTCAGTATATATCGTTTGCTTCTAGTCCATCCTCCTCGGCCTATTATTAGTATTCCAAAGTCCCCTGAGGCCAGCTTCCCCCTTGCCTGTCTCCTCCCAGCTCTACTGCTTTGGTTCCTCCCACCCAATCACCAAGGCCGGAGGATGCAGCTATGTAGCAATAATGGTCCCTAGGAGACAGATGGAGAGTAGAGCTGTGGTGAGCTTGGGTGAGTAGTCTCCATTCTGCTGCTTTCTGGAATGGCCTTTCACTCTGACAGAAACTGGGGGACTTAGCTAAGATAGGGTGTCTAGGGCCTGCCACCTCCAAAGCAAATGGTGACCCATGTAGTTCCCTCCCGAACCCAGATTACAATTCTGTGTCACAAGGTCACCCAGGTCAGGCCTGCTCTGGCCTCCCATACAGTCTGCAGAGACAATCATTGTGGAGAACAGTCACCCACAAAGTGTCTTCATATCCTTTAGTGTAAGGCTCTGCCTAAGACCCTCCTGGCCCCTAGATACTGTGTGGGAGTGGGAACAAGAAGCAGATCTATAATAAGAGAAGGATTTTAAATAAGAAGTGGGTCAGACCTAGCTAGATTCTTGCTTCTGATTAATTTTAAGAGGCATTTAGAGAGCACTCAAATAGTCTGCCAGGTAGACAAATACATACTTCTTCCTGCTGGGGTAATTTTATTCATGAGAGTCTTTGCTGTTCTGAGTGGGTTTAAGCTTCTTCTTTCTCCAGCCGAGTGACTTGGTGGGCTTGAACCACCGACCTTTTGGTTTCAAGTCCAGTGCATTCTACAGCGCCACCACACTCTCATGAGAGTCTTTGTTGTTGTTAAGTGCCAATGCGTCGGTTCGGACTCATAACGACCCTATATAGGGTTTCCAAGGAGTGGGTGGTGGGTTTGAACCGCTGATCTACAGTGCCATGCCAGGGACTTCAAACCCAAAGCATTGGCCCTGGATCTCTGTTGGTTCTAGGCACAGACAGAAGGGCAAGCCCTACCTACTATACTATCACTGCTGTCCAGATATTCTGACAGACTCATTGGACCACCAAGTTTGTTCCCCTACTGAGGTGCGCAAGTGGCAGGGGATAGCATTTCCCAGCCATTTCATGTGGATCCCACCCTTCAGGTATCTATGTCCCCTGTAGCGCCCTAGGAGCTCTTGGGGCAGCCTCAAGCACGATGTTCCTCCTGTGGAAGACCTCTGACTACTCCGGAAATTGTTATTTCTCTGTGACTTCTGCCGAGATACAGGAGCGGGAGTCCGGTGACAGTGAGCTGGGGCGTAGAGGCCATTGAGGACGGTTGGATGATGCTCCCTTAGCCCTGCCAACTCGATTTTCTCTGGCTTGCCAAACGGCCCTTGTAGGGAAGTAACTGCAGGAAATCCCAGGGTCCAGGCGCAGAGAAGCTGTAGAGTTCACTAGAAAGTCCTCTGGCCTTAGGCTTCCTGGGAGAGAACCCGCCATGCTGGGAACCTGCGGACTAGGACGCGCTCAAATTGCTTCCTCTAACTTCATTTTCCCCTCTTAACTAACTTTCAGTGGTGTGTCTGCCCTCAATTAAGAGCCCACAGAAATCAACCTGTTGCTCAAGATCTACCTCCTTCCCTCGCCGAATCCTTGTTGCTGGTCTGAACCAACCGCTCCTCTGACCCAGCCTCTCCTAAATCCAGGGCCATCCTAGACTAAGAGCCCCTTGCCCAGACGGCCTTGCGCCTGCGCGCTCCTGTATATCTCCTTCGCGTCCGGGGACTCGCAGCTCCCACACCTAACTGTCTAGGGCACGGGCTATGCACACAGTGCAGGAGAGTAGCTCGCGGGCGGACCCGGAGACTGATTGGACCCAGCGCTTTCTCCCTGGGATACTCAGGTATAGCCTGGCTGGTGGCTGGACTCCAGTTGCGAACTTGGGTACCGAGGTGGAGAAGATTTGATTTCACCATGCACACAGCGCGCATACCCAGGGCCCTGCTGGGAAAATAACCACAAAAGTGATGGAGGTTCCCACTTCCAAATGGCAGGGTTCTCAGAGCTCCCATCAGCCAGGATTCTCCCTCCCCTGGCACTCCCATCCCGTCCCCAGTGTGTCTTCGGCTGGAGCCAGGCCCAATTTTGAATTCTTATCGAGTTTCAAATGGGATTTCAGTATGGAAGTTATCAGGCCTATTCTGGTGGCATAGTAGTTAAGCACTGAACTACCAACTGAAATATCAGCGGTTCGAACCCAAGGAGAAAGATGTGATAATTTGCTTTTGTAAAGATTACAGCCTTATGAGTCAGAATCAACTAGAGGGCAATAAGTTTAGTTTGGGGCCCTACCCTCGTCTGATATTCACGCAGCGCCACTCCTTATACTGCCTTCTTCCAGCCGCTCGGCTTCTAACGAAGTTCCCAGCCTCCGCTGAGAATAAAAGCTGAACGAGGCCTACAGCACGCGCCCGCCCTTCTGGCCATCAGCCGACTGGATCTTCTGGAGGACTGGGAAGCGTCTACCCGAGCTAGACATGGACCTGCCCTCAGACTTCGGGCGCCTGTGTGGGCCCGGCTGAGGGACGGTGGTTCCAAACGGGGAAATCTCTTCACTTCCAAGTTCCCTCTGATTCACTTTAAGATCGCGCGCCCGAGACAGAGCACACACACACAAACAAACACACACACACACACACACACACACCCCGGCCACTTTCCTCTAGTGACCACCAAAGAAGTGCTCAGAGAACATCAGGCACTGAGCCCGAAACATCCCTTTTTGGGGTGGCGCATGTTCTCAAGCCAGCCGACGAGCCGAGAGACGGCCCCGTGGTCAGTCCTTGTCTTTGACAGCGAGTCCGAAGCTTTTTAAATTCTACTAAGAAATCTTTCTTAAGTTCCACTTCCTAAATTTGCATAACAGATTTGGGTTGTGAGGAATTTAAGGCCTTCTGAAAGACGTAGGCGAGGGAGGGAGGACGGGAACAACGTGGGGACCAAAGCGCATCCGTGGGACCCTCCCCTTGCTGTAGTGGGTTCTGAGCCCCTTATCCTTGGCAGTTTATGGCCCCGGCTGGCGCTGGGATAGAGGCGGGCACAGGGCAGGAGAAGAAGCGCAGGGTGAGCGAATTCCTAACCCAACCTTTATGCTGCGCGACTGGGCCCCAAGTGGCTGGGCCTCAGCTGAATCCAAGAGAGCCCATGGGGGCAACCAGGCAGGGTGGGATCCCGCAACAGTCTCAAAGGAGACAGACAAGAAAAACAAGACAGGGAGGCGACCTTAGTGCCCCCGCGCCCGCGGTACACACTGCCCTGGCCCATAAGTTTCGCCCGAGGGGAGAAATTTTTTTCACTTCTAACTAAAACTTAGTTCTCAACAGAAGGGAAAGTGGGTTCTGAATTCGGCATAGAGGAAAAGTAAATACAAGCAAGCTGTCAGAACACAGCTCAGAACGCGTTTTAAAGAGAATGCGTGGAGGGACAGTGATCTATTTTTCTCAGGGGGAAAACCCGTGGAATAGTCTCCAAATTCGGTCCCAAGAGATTGCGTCCCGCACCCACTTTCCGAGGCAGCTTCCAGTCTGAGCCAGGGAAGTACCCGGCTCCCCGCACCCCCACCCACCCACGCCCGACTTGCTGTACATTTTACTTAAAATCTCACTCGATCATTTATTTCATTTTTGCAACCAAACAAGTAATAAATATTATTTAGCTTTTTTGTTTTGTTTTTACAAAAATAAAACAGATGATACACTCTCTGCGAAGGGCGGTGATCAAGGAGGGGTGTTAACCCGGCAGATGCTAAGAAGCCGAGAGATTGCAACGCAGACAACGAAGACAGGTGCCGCTGAAACAGGAAGCACGTGGGGCGTTTGTCATTTGTGTTAAATTTGGGCCAAAAAAAGAAAAGAAAGAAACCAATATAGAGGAAACCCAGTTTAGACTCCAGTGGGGCTCAGTCACGTGAACAAACAGCTTAGCAGCGGCACACTTAACCCTTATCACTGATAATATATGTACAAATCCAAGAAAGAAAAAAGGAAAATCAACCGAATTCCCGCCCCCACCCCCTTTATAGCCCACTTCAACAGCTTTTTAGTTCTGACAAATTCCCTAGTACCAAAATGACTGGCCCAGTTGGGTAGGAAACCAATTCACTTTGTTCTCAGAGGAAGAAAGATGGGGGGAGATGAGAAGAGAGAGTGTCCATTTTTAAACCATAACTAAAATTCACTCGCCCCCAAAGTCGGCAGTTTTGTGTCATTCAATTCCACAAGTGTTTTTATTCTGGCCATGTAAAGGCTTATTTGTACTTTTGAAACTGGGACGTTGACAAGATTTATTACAAAATGCCAAACCAACAGGAGCGACAGGGCGGGTGCGGCCAGATTTCACACGCTATTGTGGGGTTTCCCTGATGTGAAGACTGCTCTTAGCCATAAGTGCCTCTGGTATGGAATGCCAGCATCAACTAAATGCTCACCCCCTGCCCTCAGCCTGGGACGAGCCTCAGGGCAGCCGCTGCAGTCGCTCCTCCAAGTCTCCTACTGGCCAAGAAAGGAGGAAAGAAGACGGGGAGGATGTCCCTAACGTCCCCCTCCTCCCCTGTAACAACTGCTGCCCGGGCCGGGTCTGCCCTAGTTCCCCGGGAAAACAAAGTTTTTAGAACAGTTTTCTGAGAGAGGAGAGGTCAAAGGAGGGATGCGCGTAGCGGTGCCTTTTTATAAACTGATATCTACCGGACCAGCGCTGTTTAAAGCCTGCGAGGACTAAACCAGGTCTTGGAGCGAACGTCCCCCTCACTCCCCACTCCTCAGTGCGCCTCCCCTTTGCTTAGATTCCCTGGCGTTGGAGTCCCCCACCCCAGACCCTTGGTCCAGCGCCACCTACTAGCGCTCACGGGTCCCAGCGCCGGCCAGTTCTTGCATCCTCGCAGCTTCCGGTTCCCCTGCCCCCGATCGCCAGAAAGCACCGGCTCAGGCCGGCTCATTTGGCGTCGGAAGTAAGGCGCGGCAGGCTGCCCGCCCCCATTGCAGACACGTGGTGGTGCGGCGGCGGCACCTGGCACATGCTGCAGGGGCAGGGCATGCCACCCCAGTGCTGGAAGCCGCTGCCCCCGCTGCTGCCACCCCCGGCCCCTAGAGGGGCCGCCGCGGCTGCCGAAGGAGACTTGAGCAGGCCGTGAGGGGGTCGGATGGAGCCGACGGACGACAGCCCGGAGCCAGGTAGAGAGGCGCTGGACACTGCGGCTGCGGCGGCTGCAGCGGCGGCGGCGGCAGCGGCGGGGGGCAGGATGGGGTGGTGCACAGCGGGATGGTGTGCAGCGTGGGCGGCGGCCGCGGGGTGAGCCGTGGCGGCGGGCAAGGGCGCCGAGTGAGCCAGGCCGCCACAGGCGGACGGGTGGAAACCGGCGTGGTGGCCGCCGTAGATCTCGCTCACCAGCCGCTTCATCTCCTCTAGCGAGTTGGTGAGCATGAGGATGTAGTTGCGCGCCAACAGCAGTGTAGCTATCTTGGAGAGCTTGCGCACCGACGGGCCGTGCGCGTAGGGCATGACCTCGCGCAGGCCGTCCATGGCGATATTGAGATCGTGCATGCGCTTGCGCTCGCGGCTGTTGATTTTGAGGCGCAGTTGCTGCAACTCGGGCTCGGTCATCTGCTTCTTGTCCTTCTTGGTGGAAGACGCGGCCGCTGACGATGTGGACGACGAGGTGCTGGACGAGGAGGACTTGAAACCGCTGCCACCCAGCTTGTCACCTGGGTGAGCGCCCGCTGCGCCCATGGCGCTGCGCAGCTCAGCGCTCAACTCCGGCGGGCAGTCGCTGGGTGTAGACGAAGACACGGTGCCCCCAGAGAAGCCGCCGCTGCCCTTGCTCCGGGCCGGCAGGAATAGGTCATCGGGCTCTGGCGACGACGGGCGACTGGACACCAAGCTGGCGTCCGAGTCCATGGTCCCAGGAGGTAGGTTCAGGTGTATAGCAAAGTCTTCCCTCCCTCAGTCAGTGGAGCTTCCACTCACGCCTCCTGCGGAGAGGAGGGGAAACAGGAAAAGGAGACAGACAAACTAAGTCAGTGCTCGCTACACCCGCCTGCATCGTAGCGCCTCATCCAGACTCCGATGGCGGCCAGCGCCACTTGCATCTCTGTCTTTCCATCTAGTGACACACGAGTATCAACAACTAATCTCTCTCTCTCCCTGCCATCTCCCCTTACGCCCATCCACAGGTTGTTTGATTCCACGGAGTGCTAAGTGTGTAAGGGTGGCGTCCAAGACGTGTGTGTCTTCAGGTGGGAATGGGGAGGCTGGTTATCCAAGGCTGGCAGAAACGAGTGGCAAGTGAGGGAAGAAATGTGTCTTTGGTTCCTCAACCGCATCAACACTGCTCAACAAACACAAGCACTCACACACGACCCCTGCGCCCTAGCGGCGCCAGGGTTCCATGTGCTGTGCCCGGGGCTGAGGAGAGCTCGCCGGATGATCGAGATTTGGGTTTAGGAAAGTCTGGTCTCCGATGGGCAATGGGGAGGCTACGCCAATTGTGTAGAGAGGATCAAGGCGGCAAAGCGGCTCTGGGGCACTGGCGTGTAGGGGTGGGACGGGCCCCTTCTATCGGAACATCTTGGGTCACAACCGAGTTGGAAGGCGCCTGTCCCTGGGTTCCAGGCCGAGTTGCTGGGGGGCGGGGACACTTACTGTTAATGCGATGCGAGGAGCTCTCTCCGAAAAGTCGTAGAGGAGAACCTCTGGGGTCGCGTCGGTTTATAATAAGCATCCGCACCTTTCCGGGCTTGGCGGGTTTTTATAGTCCGGTGGCGGCAGCTACGGCTGCGGTGGCCGGGGCGGGGGCGGGGAACAATGTGCTTGTCCTGGAGGGGCTGCCGCGCCAATGAGCTGGGCCCGCCTTGGGGGCTGGGAAGCTGATGTCATCCTGGCTAATTCCGCTCAATGAAACCTTCCCAGCCAGGCGCACGCCTCCTCCAGGCGCACAACCAATGGGCGTCCGCGGCCGTGAGATTCTTGGGGCAGGACCAGAGGAGGGACCCGAAGAGGGACAGAAGGATGCGTAGACGAGGAGGGCGGGCTCGCAAGCGAAGGAGCTGGGCTGAGCGCGTTGGGAACGGATGGAGAGAGGGTACGCTGTCAAATGTCTAGAAAATGCAGTCACCACGGAGTTTACTTGGAGTCCTGGTGTGGCGCTGTGGGATAAAGCACTGGATCGAAAGGTCCCTTTGAAACACAAGGTCGGCGGTTCAAACTCACCGACTGCTCCGTGGAAACCCTATACAGAGTCGCTATGAGGTGGAACCGACTCGACGGCACTTAACAACAACATCGTAGTTTATTGGAGATGAGGCAGAGAGGGGATGGGGCCTCCTGCACATCAAGTAAACCTGATATTCAGCGTAGCCTGTGGATAGCCCTCACAACCCAGGAGCCCCGGCTGGAATCTCCTGGCTCTCTGTCCCTCTCTATGGGTGCTTGTCGCCTGTCTCAGATTTCGTGAACAAGCTGGCATTTTCGGCCCCAAATGTAAACAATAACCAGGCACTAAGCTAGAATTTTCTTTGCGTTCTAATAGCAGTCCTAGGAGGGGAGCGCTTCTGTAGCTCCGCGGGCAGCCAGTAGCTCCCCCAGCTGGGTACCGGTCCTTGAGGGAGAAAGGACAGAGGCCTGTGGAGGCCTGGTGTTCCAGTGCCAAGAGTTTTGAAAGAAATCACAACTTTTCATAAAGTTGAGGATGGTTTGGGCACAGGGAGGAGTTATTCCCAATACAGTAACTGTGCTAATATAAGGGCCACCTGCATCTATTAGCATAGGACCCTGCCAATGTTGTTTTCAGCATCATCTTCGGAAGTGTGACCAGACGGTGGGGTAGAGGCAACTCTAATTCGTCTACAAAGAGAGAAGTCAGCACCGGGCAAAAAGTCTTCCGGACGCTGTGGGTCTGACAGCTGAATCTAACCACTCTGACACATTTAACGCTACGTTGTTCGCAAACCAGGAAACCATTGACCACGAGGAATTAAACTAGATCTGGAGAAGCGCCCAACTGAAGTAGTTCAGAGATACCGATGAAGTCACCTATTTTACAGATTGAAAAATAGAGAGGTCGTCTCTGCAGCTAATCTACAGCGAAACTCTCCCTAAATTACCAATGCGCGCAGTTGGGAGTTTCTTACAACGCAGGCAGCTGCCTTTCTCGCTAATTCCTAACCTTTCCCAGAACTGATTTTTTCACATCTATACATTTTGATTATAGGCGTTCCTGACGATTCGGAATGCTAACCCAGTTCCTCTCTATTAGCGTCCTCTGGCTATCTCCGTTATTTCTGATCTTTTAATTTACATGCACGATATTTAAAACAATCAATCCAACAAAATAAGTGTTTTGACTTCAAATAGCAAAATTACAAGATAAAACAAATAACAGAAAATAACTTTATTGACCTCCAGTCCCGGTTAAGTCTTCCTCCGCCTTCGCTATGTCCACTAGAAAGCCCAGAAGGCTTCTTATGCCTTCTGGAACATTATTTTTAACCCTCGTGTATTCCAGCTGACTCTGCAACCATCCGTTAAATATGTATTTAAAACATTAAGAACTGAAGCGTGGTAATACATCGTCCAACGGTTACAAAGTTGACCCATAACCGTTCAATTAAGATGATCTATCACACGGCGAACGCAAAAGTGGGAGTGGGGAGCAGAGAAAGCTGGAGAAAGCATTTGAGGATCGTCCCTTCGGCTGCCACCCGCAGTAAGGGCTTTAGTGGAGGAGTGTCCTATGGGCGTGGGTACCTGAGTCGAGGTGTGAAGTTGTGCACTGGCTGGGGTAGCTTATAAACAAAAGCAAGCGCAACATTAGGGCACTTGGGTTGAAGGCAACCAGATTAGTGCAGGCGCCGGCACTTGTCTCAAATCTCATTCTTATATTGCTTCCCACCGGTGTTCTCCCTGCATCCGACCTGACAAATATGCGGTCTGGGGTACATTATGCACGTGCCCCAATTACAGGTTGGAGATGGGGGGGCGAAGGTTAGGGAGGGGGCCAGTCTCGGCAAAGCGCAATTCTAGAACCCCCATCACCACCTCAGAACGCAGATTACGGATGCAGAAGAATGGGCTTCTTGCCAGGTTTCCGCGCGGACGTTCATCAGGACGCGCCAGGCCCCAGATCCACTCCACCAAGAGGCGGCGGCAGTGACAATTCTGGGACAGAGCAGCGGCACGTCTCGGGCCGCACGCCCCTTGCCGGGGGAATCTGGCTGAAGCTCTGGGTTGCATTCTCCAGCAACCTCCTTTCGCCAGAGAGTTACTTTGGAGGTGGGGGCGGTCTGGGTCCCCCGGGATTCTCATAGCCCAGGGGCAAATTGGACGCTGGACACACGCCATTAAGTCTTTGAGATTTTTTTTTCCTGAACTGAATGAATTTCTCGGGAATTCTGAATAATCGAAAACTGGAGCTTGACCTCACGTGCCAGAACCTGTGCCCCACACCCATCTTGGGGTCCGCCCTGGGCGCTTTACTCCGGTCCTGAGCTCTGTGTCGGGCGCACAAGTCCTAGACTCGCCTCGGCGCCGCAGTTCCCACCCGCGCGCGTAGCTGGGCTGCAGCCTCTTTCCAAGGAGTTGGACGTTCACTGGCCGAGGCTAATCAGGCGGGCCTCCAGGGGGTTCCTGGCTAGCCCTGGCGTCCGGGATCTGTCGGCCTTCTCCGACAAAACGGAAGACAGGTCTTTCCCTTCCTTTGTGTTCCCTCCCACAAAGGACCGGGTGCGTGTCGGGGCCGGCCTATGCTCAGTATCCTGGCGGCCCAGAAAAGCCTGTGCCAAACATGCCGGGGCGGGCTTGCGCAGGGCTCCAGGGCGCGGACCCCCCACTGCCTCTCTGGTCCCTCCCTGGCCTTTCTTCCTGTTCTCGCCTTTTCCTTCCCGGAGTTCCTGGGCGCATTCAGGCCGAGTCACGGCTCGGCTGCCAAGGAGAGCGGCGTCTTTGCGCAGAGCGGGCCAGTGCAGGCGGTGGGAGGCGAGGAAATAAAAAGAAAAAGGCATTTCAGCCGTCACTCCTGGTCCGGAAACCAGGGGGACGTGGAATGGCAGTGTTTGGCGTCCTAAATATGCCCGTAAAGTGTCGTTCCCCTCACCCCCCAGAAGCAGAACGCAGGAAAACAAATGGCATCTGTCTTCCTCACGAGACTAGGCTCCCTCCCAGAGCCACCCAGGGTCACCCCCCCCTCGGGTGTCCGAGACCCCAGCGCCAAGCACAGGGCCTGGCACGTGGCGTCCGGGAGCTTGGTTACACTTCTGAATGCACATACATGCAAATATACACGTGAACAGGCGTAATGTAAATGTGGGCGAAGGTTCATGCACTTATTTGCTATAGCGTCATACTCCTAAACCGTGAAACCTGTAATCTGGATTGTTTAGCATGAACAGCGTTGGTGACTTCCATCTAATAACAGCTGTGATCACTGAAAGTTACCCTAAATTGTGCCAGTCATTTAGCAGGTCTTCACAGATACCATTTAATTTAACCTCTCTCACTGGTCATAGGAGAGAGGCATTACTTAAACACTTTACACTTAAGGAAACTGAAGCCCAGAGAGGGCCCCTCCATCAGGGGTGAGTGCAAGAGAGTGCAAGGGTCTGGGAAGAGGCACACACAGCCCTGTGATCGTCCAGCACATGGAATCTACCCTGGCTGTCCTGAGATTTTTGAGATCTGCCTATCAGAGGGTGGAGATTGGGTGAATAGGACGAAGGGCGCCTAGATAGGTGGCCCTGACTGACTGGGCACTGCATTGGGGAATATTCCTTTAGCTTCTTGGGTGGCTGTGATACAGGGGACTTCGGGCTAGAGGGGGGCGAGTTACCGAAGTCCCTCGAGGCAGCGAGGAACCTTCTGTAGAGGAATGCAGCGGTCTACTGATCGCGGGAATTGTTGTAGTTAAG